TCTATATTGTAACTAAAGTGAAAAAAACGGTAATTATGGAAATAGGCCTATTCTTTGGAAAACAGGCCAATTATTATTAAAATAGGTCATACACTTAAGTGAGACACACATTTATGTACAATTGTAAAATAAAAGGCTGTTAATTGTATGTGCAAAAAGGTCTACACAATGAGCCACATTCACAAGCGAATAATAGGCCTACACAATGGGAAAATCAGGTCTAAATTTATGAAAAATAGGCCTACACAAAGGAAAAACTAGGCCTTAACATGTGAATAGGCCTACAATGAAAATTAGGTCTAGCTTGTGATAGTTTCGGTTTAGGTCTATTCATTAGACCAGACATTACAAGAATAGACTTAAACTTGTAAAATACATAAGCAAAAACTTGTAAATATAATCTAGAGTGATCAATTATAGAAATGATATTAAATACTTCCAGGTAGAAAAACAAATTCATTAGCAATAATTTAATACTAAATCCTATTGCCTATATCTATAATCGAACTCTGGAAACATGGGATAGCAATGCATGGGTTCACACATGTTCTAGACAGTAAGCATAGGCTATTTGGAAATTGATTGGTGTGCAAAAAAATAAGAAATACAGTATAATAAACTGAATGTTACACATAGGAATGCATCTGTGCATTTGTAGTATGATATGCATTATTAAAATGTTTAAATTCACAAATTTTACAAGTTTTCATCCTTACATTTAAGGAGTTATCCCCCTTCCTTTACTTTTCAACAATATCACGACAATTAAGTAAAATTTACATATTTCTTATTCATAACAATTAATAGAAACTTGACAGGCAGTTCACTTTCTGAAAAATAAACGAGACAAAACTATTCAAATACCGGGATGACATGAAATACAGATTCATGACAATTAAGTATTAAATAACATATATTTAGATATAAGGCATATTTATCAATCGTATTTATCAGAGAAGGAGAAATAAATCTACTTCTAGACAAAAACATTCTGAATACTCTGAGAAAACTATATTTCAATATTTCCTTTTCACTCAGTGACTAGAACCTACTCTTATTTCTCTGCTATACATGACTGATAATTCATACTTGTATTTCTGTTATATCTGACTGATGGTTCCCTCAAATAACCCTTAAAATATTCTTTTCTTTCCACAGTAACCCATCTTTATACTTCACTTCCGTAAAATAGCTTTATAAATTTTAAATTGAATTTAATATCTATATATCATAACCTGTCATTACAAGAACCTTGGCTGTTGCAAAGACATTTAAAAAAAATCAAAAACATACTTCATTTAACAATTTGAAATTCTGAAATTGTTTTAAGCAAAAGAATTTTTGTTAGTAAATCTTTTCCTTTCTTTATATAATAGTTTTCTAAAAAAAATAGAAAAGTTACTGAGTTACTATTTCTTGTTTTCTTTCATTTACACATTTTCTTGTTTATCTTGGAAACTATACAATGTACAATGAAAACATAAAATTCTCTTAAAAATGAAATTAAGCCAATTTCAGTTTCAAAGTTGACCATTACCCAAATATAATTATAAATTTTCTCCAAACAATATTACATCATACACTGATGTTTTACCATATCCCATGAATACATATCAGAGGATTATATAGTTGTTTTTCCACTCATAAAGTTGCTATAATAATGAATAAAACACATTTTATACACTTTGGATTCTGTTGTAGCAATCACCAGCATTGCACAAACTGTCTCTCATCATGACAACTCAAGGTATCAATTTGTTTTACAAGAAAATACTGTTCATGTTTTGAGCAAATATCCTTTGAAATAAATATCACTAGATCAACAGGAAAACAGAAATTTTCCAGATAAACAATTTTGTTTTTTAAGTATGAAATATTATATGATCCTATTATTTTTTCCTCCTTTAGGAGAATATCATTGTAAATTTCATACATTGATGGCATTGGCATCTTTGTAAAATGTAAAACAATGATGTTCATGAAATACACACACATATATATATGTATAAACATAACAGTGATATAGGTGTTATACTTAAATTAAAAGAACGGTAAATCTACATTTTCAAAGCCTTTACTTAAAATTCTGTACCTTAATAAGCATTTAAACAATATTTACACATAGTGATGCTCAACTGTAAAATATTTCAAATGCCTGGGATTTTCTCTTGACGAGTAATAATACTGACACAAAGCCATGATCATGATATTTAACACTTAAATTGTTTTCATCTTGGCATAGATTTTCAGTCAGATTTTCTGAAAATCAAAAATAACAAAACTGAAATGAAAACAGAATTAAACAGGACTAAAAATTGATACCAGGTATTCAGAAATTCCTTGATTTCATGTGGTCATCATTGGAACCATCTATCCAAACGGTTACTCATCTGTTTATTTCAGGAGTAAGCCAAAGTTTATTTTAGATGCATCAACCCTAGAATAATGTAAGAAAAAAGTACCTTTATAAGGTTAAGTCGAGAAATACATGTACTGGCGATAATGAGGTCAGATCACAGTATTTTTACAGATAGAATATTCATTTTCAATATGTACTTTTTCGTAAAAGTCCAATTTACTTGACTTGTCATGCATATAAGATATAGAACTAATCTGAAGCTTTCTGACCAATCACCAATGTGGTACAGGCCAGCCAGCGATGCAAGTGTTCTTAACAATGTCATAGATACATCAAAAGTTTAGGGGTTGAAATTTAATCATTTTTGAAGAAAAAAAGCCCCACTATTAGTAATTCCAGCATATCACACTCCCAAGTATTTTTTTTTTAATATAATTTCGTTTAAACAATATTCATAAACAAGTTTGATGAAGAGCATTTGAAATGTGTGTCAAATGTGTAATAGCATAGGAGAATACTACGACCTTCACCAACACAAAACAACAGCCATGGATGAATGCTTGTTGAATACTGTTACTGAACAGTTAATACAGATACACAGAGCACCTCAAATGATTTGTCAGTTCATGCGAGTTTAAATGATTTTCATTTAAAATTGTACTCGTGTCAGCGTCATTTTGGTCCTGATGACGTCATATTGGTCCTTATGACGTCACAATGGACGATAACTTGCAAGAATCATATTATCGGACGGCATTGTGAAAATGTATAGTACAAGTATACCATATAAGGAAATGTTGATGACCAGATAAAGATGACTTATACAATCTTTTATCAGAATAGTTGAAACACGGGCAAAACATTGCCACTATGTTCAACAATAACCAAATAAAAGCTAACGGTTAAATCAAATCCATATAGGACAATAGTGTTACAACAAAAATAGCAGTTTAAAACATCACAATCAAAGCCATGATAATTCCTTGAAATATTAAAAACTAAAATTTGCAATTTAATCAAATGATGTAGTCAAATATTTTTGGTTTCTTTTTAACACAATGGAAGATGGAAGTCTTTAATTGGCTAAAAAAAACACACAAGTATGTTTGTCAGACTATAATAACAAGCTTTGATGACAAGATATATATACAACAACAAAATTAAGGAACAAGTACAGACATAAATGTTGTGAAACATTTAACAGATACCAAATACAACATGAAAATTCACCAGTGTACAACAAATACATTCTACAACTGGTTGTCTAAACCATATCATCTCAAGTAATATTACAGCTATTTTGAGAGTGCACTTGAGTAGCCCAGGGAAAATAAGCAATTTTTGGCATACATACCTGGATCTCATCCAAAGTTATATAATTGTATAAATACATTTTAAAAGGAATTTTTTTTCTGGAAGTAGAACAGCAATTTTATGTCGATAATTTAAAAAATAATTAGAATTTTCAGCATTTTTCTTCTGCAAATTATGTTTATAATGTCATGTTCTGAAGCTAAAATCTGTTGAATTATTCACTATTCATCAATTTCGCCTTATTTACTTCCCAAAATTTCTGTAGCCTCGTGCCTTAAGTCATTCTAAATCGTCAAGTGATCTCAAATTGGTTGTTAAAGTTACTGGAATTGATACGGCACAAATACACACAAGTACATCCAAAAAATTGGACAAACGACTGAAAACTAAATTTGGCATTTTGAAAAAACTATGAAAAGGTGTTTATCTTAAAAGCAATCTTAAGCTTATAACTGGTACTGATCTTCACCAGCAAAATTATACAAATTACTGTACTTTATCATTTGTACGTCCAATCACTATTACACCTCAGTATTCACAGGAAAAGGATAAAAGATGTCTAGCCATATTAAGGTAAATTGTTTACCATTTCACTTTCTAAAAGCACAAATAAAAAGTTAAAAAAAACAATATGTAAAAAATGGGTCTTTGAAAATAATCACTAAAGCATTTTTTTAGACACATATTGATGTACAAAAAGTCTAATATTTGATTTCAACAGAATGTAAACAGGCACAGAAACATACGCACTGGAAAACATACAAAAATATATAAACAAACGAATTTACAAAAACAGGAACATGTATAAAGTTTACCTAAAAAGCAAAAATAAACAAACCATAAAAAATTAATTATCAAAACTTGGCGACTGATTTTAAAACAAATATAAGGCACTTTTAGTAATGGAAAAACAAAACTTTCGAGGAAGTTCGGCGTTGGCAACTAAATGGTACGGCACAAAATATGAAAATTAATGACAGCAGATGAAATGGTTGCGATACATTTCAATCCAAAGCTCACACAATCCAGACCAAAGCATTTGGTTGGACTAGCAAATGCATGCTCACCTATTTCATTTACAAAACAATCTCCTAACAGCACCCATCATCTAAATCTGTTTAGCCTGTTAACCTGAAAGTCAAACAGCAGGTTACCACAATGAAAACTAATTCCTTGTACATTATGCATTCAGAATTGGAGGATTTTACATTTTCTATTCAATATTTTCTTTCTTTGACAGCCAAATAAAAAAGAATATATATATACATATATATATCTGTATTTCAGAAGTACAGGTATTTTAAATAATAATACAATTAACTCTTAATATGCATATTTATTTCTTTGAATATATTTCTGTTAGTTCTTACTATTTTTTATGAAATTAATTGGAATGAAAAACTATTCTAATTACAATACAGGAGGGGAGAATTCATGAAGTATAAACAAAACTAAGATGGAACTCAACAGATGTTGGAGAATGAGTGATGTGTGGGCGACTGTTAACACAAGCCGTAGGGACTTCGTACCCAGCACCAGATATTACCATGTGAACCAGTTCCATATACTGTACCATTACCACACACACATGCAGATTAAAGGCTGGGAGAAATAGAATATTGAACCCCTTGTAACGGGATTAATTATCTCAATCATTAACAAGATATACCAGGTATGCAAAAATCAAAAGTAAACTCCACTTGATTCATTGGGTAACAGGTTAACAGTATAAGAGCATCTTACCTGTAAAATTTTAGTCTCCTCTCATCACCACGGTGCACATACACAGCTAAATGCCCTAATGACCCCCCTCCCCCCCCTTCCTAATTATTACAAGAAAATCACGTTCAATTTTCACAATTAATACCGACTCATTATAACCCAGTATCCAGTATACTCAGAATAGCACTCTTTCACTCTTCACCTGTGAAACACACTAGCAGAAGCACACACCATGCAGACACGCCGAATGAATTACATTTGATCAAATATATGAATAAAACGATGAATCATGCATAAACATATGAAATGATCATGCAAATATAATCACTGAATTTCTCTCAAAGACCATATTAGGCGGGTGTATGTCACTTCGTGAGGCAATAGGGAAAACCCTAAATATCTATAAATATCACAGGTTACTTGTTCAAATCTTTTAAATCTTTTAAAAAGCTGATCATCATTCAATCTGCAAATGAATATACAAAAAGACCAGTATTGAAAATAAAAATTAATCATACTACATGTATCAGCAAAAAAAATATCACAGATAAAATAATGCTTCACAATTAGGATAGCGAGCGACATATTTGAAAAATCTGGGCAAATCTAGCTCTAGATATTTTACAACAGGACCACTATTATATTTAGCAGGGAGGTTGTGACTGTGGACGAATCTTCACTTGATTGGAAATTAAAGATGTTGGCCTTGACTTTGTACTGCTGACATTTGACCCTGGCCGAACTTTTGAGGATGGTGGTTGTGAACCAGGTCTGGCTTTAGCACGAGCTAACCAAGCTGAACGTTGTCTTTTCTCTAATTCTTCTTCCTCTCGCAGTTTTTGCTCGGAGAACATTTTCTCTATGCTATTGATGTAGTCCTTCTCCTGTTCATATGTTCGGAGATCAAATTTCACATGACTCCGCATGGGGTTATTGTAAGCACTCACTTTTCCCATGATCTGACCGGTGCCATCACCGGCTGATTGCACATCTTCAATTTTGTTATGACTCCGTTTTTCTTTTATCAACTGTGACAATTTTTCTTTCATGTCGGCAGGGTACATAAGCATGGGAACAAAATTGGCCTCCATAGCTGTACTGGATAAACCATATTGTCCTCGCGGCTTATGCTGGAAAGACACGCCTGGCAGTGAGGGCGCAATAGTTGACCTGACGGACACTCCCGTATCTGGGCGATTTGTCAGGGCTGGAGCAGTTCCTGGGCGAATACTGCGCGCTTTCAATTCAGGATCTACCTCCTTTCGCTTGGCTGAGGCAGAGATTGGTCTGATGACTCGACCGATTGGCACTGTGCTTTTTGTCCTTTTTGAATGCAAACTTTGTCTTAATTTAATTTTCGTTGGTTTGATGTCACATGGTGTAGCATAGATTTCCTTCTCTGGACTGTCTGGCATGCCTTCTTCTTTTACCTTATTGGATTTGGTAGATTTTGTTGATTTGACATCGGAGAACTCCGACAATGTGTCCACTTTGTCGTCAACAATAAACCTCTCTAACCCTATTTCTCCAGGACTGACTCTTGTACGAGGGTCAATTTTCGGCGGAGAAGAACTAGGCCTATTTCTTAACATATCAGCAAGATTATTCTTTAGTTTAAAGTTTACCTGTGTATTACTATTGGTTTCTGTCGAGCGCATGGAAGTCTGAATGGCATTGACCGTCAGATATATAAAATCTGGTGGCACAACACTCTCAGCCTTCATGCGCATCTGTGACCGCAGCAATGATTTCGTCTCTGAAAGAGAAATATCTTTGGACTTGGGGACAAGTGGCTTCTCAAATGCCCAGGAAACTCTCCGCTTGAGGTTGGAAAGTGATGGCCCATTTTTATCATCTTCATCGTCATCATACTGATCATGATTAGGCTCAGCAATCATCACACTATGTTGGGATACCCCAGACTTATGGGTCAAAGGTCGTGTCTTTGGCAGTGGAGGCTTTGAGGGGGCAGTAGAGGCACGACTCTTCCCTCGACTTGAGACAGCAGTCTTGACTTCAGACAGAGCCAGGCGGGACTCGACACCGGGTGTAAAATGCATACTCTCAAACCCTCCATCGATGAACCCCTGACTCTGAATATGTCTAGCACTTGCCATACTGCGAGAACTCAGAGCCTTTGCACTATGTGGGAACTGTGGGGCATGGAAAGATGTTTGAGGGAGAATCTGTCCGCCTTCGATCTTCCGTTCCTGTCTCTCCCCAGGTCGATTATGTAGGACTATTTTTGTGTTTGTGGCACCGGCTCGTACCATCCTCTGGGCACGAATGTAGGAGTAAGGGTGGGATCGGATAGGCGTATCAGCGTACGAACTATACTGTACAAGTGGTGGCACTTTGTCATTCTCTAGTGTGTAATCCCACTCCACTTTCTCAAAGTTGAGCACCAGGAGATTGACGCTGGTATTCAGAGTAATCCTACAACACAGACATAAAACAAACAGATTTAATATTTGGTGGTACAATGTTAAAGGACTATTTTACAGTTAAACTGCTTCTATATGATCTTGCCATTGGCAATCACTTGACCTGGACATGTTCAGTTGGCAATCATATGATCTTGCCAAATTCAGTTAGCCATCATACAACCGTGCCAAATTCAGTTTAAAATCATATGACCTTCAAAGTTCTGATTGAAATCATTACCTTACAAAATTCAGATAGCATTTAAATGACCTTGCCGAGGTATGCAATTCTACTAGCCCATGACCAGGACTAGCAAATTTCATGTTATATCTAGACTAAGTGAAATTTTTCAATATTCACTATGAAAAGATATCTTTGGCTAGCAGAATTATGCAAAATCTAGATTCTACGGCTGGATTGTGAGATTGTTATCATTTTCAAATGCAAATTTTACACCAACCACCCACAACAAATATGTTGCAGAATTTGCCAATTCGTCCAACTTGCAATTAGCCTTGATTTGCCTTGGATTTCTAGTTGCATTGGGACTGGTTATCTGAGACAAATAGACATGATGAGAAGATAAGATCTACTAGCACAACCAGGTTGGATGTAGTCAAATTCTCTGACAAAATTTTAAATAACTTCAAAAAAAGGTTAATTACTGAATTTCATTTTTTTTTAAATTCATACCTCATGGCTGACCTTCATGTCTAAAGAGTATATATATACAGTACATGTCCTAAAACTTTAACTGACCTGAAATTAATCAAACACTTTTGACCTCAAGGATAGCTTCAGTAGATAAAATACATGTACAAACATAAAAGCTAAAGAAACCATTTTAACTCTCATTTACCTGTTACCAATGGCAATAATGGACTGTATCGCATCACTGCGACTATTCCCACGCATGATCCGGCAGCACTGTCCGGTGACCATGTTCCAGATCCGAAGTCGTCCGTCAGCTGATCCCGTGATTACACGGAGGAACATAAACTCTACACAAAGGACAGCCCTGGAACCAATCAAGTATCAAACATATCAAGGATAAGACTCCAGCTGGTCAACACATCTAAAAGAGCAAATCCCAATGATGACTTGATGCAGTTCTCCAGTTATTAACTCATTCACCCCTGAAGACACATTTGAACTCCCCCAATTCAAAGGGTGGAATTGTTCATTATGAAATTTCAGGGGTGAAAGAGTTAAAAAGATCCCAATGTTGTGGTCCTTAACCTAGATATAAAATGTCTTTCATTTAACTCATTCACCCCTGGAATTTCACAATGAACTTAAATTCCAACCTTTGAATTGGAAGGGTTCAAATGTTATTGTTGGGGAATATGAAAATTTAGCAAAGACCTAACCTTGAATACAATTTGAACTGCGTCTTTCCTTCAAGGCATTTTTGTTGTCACTATGGGAAACAAACACTGGAAATGCTGAAGGATCATTGTTAATCCAATTTTTGAAAAATCATTCACAAAAAAAAGTGTTTAGACTGTGTTTGATAAGTAAATAATTTGATGTAGTATATAAGTTTACTTTGGGTGCCTAAGGGCGTTGAGACAGCGATTGAGGTGTCCCTGGGCGCTCCACACTAATGCGTAGCCATCCTTACTCCCCGTAATGATGTGCCATTTGTCAAACTTAATGGACGTCACCTGGTCGTGATGACCATTCAACATCTACAACACAAAGAGTCATTATTATGATTCATTAAACACCTTACTTAGCAATATATGATGTGGCAAATTTTCATATAATCATTTAAATGCATTTAATAATAATGATCTAAATTTACAATGTTTATGTATTGGTTAATAATTATGTAATATAATTATTTTGTTACTAAAATCTTCTGTCTCTTCCATTTTCCTATTCTTTTAAAGAAATATTTCATAACAGTAATTAAAATTCAACTATCTCCATTATGCATATTACATATATATATGTCATACACTGTACTGATATACTTGATATATGTATGTATTGATCTAAAGGATTCAATCACAATGCCAGTACCATGATATGTATTGAATCATGGGTATATCATAACACCTCTCTGAAGCATAGTGCTTTTTAAAGGTCAAAGGTGACGTACCTTGATAAGGTCGCCTGTCTTGATGTCCCAGACCTTGACCCTGCCTCCCTCACACCCAGTGATGCACAGCTCTTCGTTCATGGCCACCGCCCACACTGGTTTACGGTGTTTAAACGTCCGCTGACACTTTCCCGTGTTGAGGTTCCAAACTGAAACAAATAAGGTTTATAAGTACAAATTTGTCAGTGTGAATAGGAAATTACTAATTACAAGAAGATATCTAAGACTTGACAACAGTGAAGAGAGTTACACAGCATGGCCCAGTTGTTCACAGTAGTGAATAATTAGCTTAACAGCAATTTCAACACAAAAGTAATCTAGCATATTCTCAAAAACTTTGAAAATAATTAACTCAGTTGTGTGTACAGGGATTCAAAAATTATCAAATAAACAGGATATTTCTGAAACAACACATTTTGTAAATTTCTGTAAATGACTCAATAAGCTAATCATGACTTGCACGAACTTTGCAAACAGGACAGGTTTTAGATGGTGTGGAAGTGAGCACTTTGCTTAAAGGAAATTTAACCTGACTCTCTAAGACAAAAAAATATCTTTAAGAAGCTGGTTTCTGTATTGAGTGCAAAACAAGATCAGATTTCAATGCTGTATAAGTCTCAAACCGAAGACTTTACATCTTTTTAAGAGGATGATGGGGAATATTATGTTCCTAAACAACCATCTTGATATGCCCTTTCTTGATCTGACTTTGATAGAACTTTCTACCAATTATATCTCCATACCCTAGTTTTATGGATGTATGTATCTTAACTTTTGGAGATTCCTAAACTTAGAAGTTAAAGGAAAATTTCCTAACTGAAGTCTATTTCTTACTAACTCTAAAATTGCTATCCAACAGAAAAAAATAAAATTAAGTAATTTATTTATGTTTAAGCAATGTTCCTGGAACCAGGCCAATAATTAAAAGACTCAATTTTATATTGAAAATGTTTTTTCAAATAAACTCTTGATTGTGTGTGTGTGTGTTGGTTTTTTTTTTTATCTATTTTGAGAACAGATTTTAAACTATCAACACATACTTCCAGTACATAAATTGCCTGTAACAAAATTACTTATTCATGAATAAAGATATTTTGAAGTAAATTTTCTTTTTGTGTTATTTTCCTGCTTTGAATATAGAATTTTGACAGATTTTTGACATTGACGTGACGCTGACCAAATATCCCGATAATATTAGACTTATTAGCTATCAGATTTGTGTATTCAATCGTGGTTGGCCCTTCAGCGTCACATAAATATCTGTGTCAATATTTGTATACCCTCGCCAATATGGTTAGATAAACACAATCTGAACTATGTCCATGAAATTAATTTCCCTTGATTTTGGAACTGAAAGAAAAATGTTTGTTTTTATTTCATAAAATGAAGGACATGAAAATCTTTCTTTCTCCTCACAATAATTACCTTCCAGTATATGCTCTGAGTAAACCTTAAACTGTACTTCTATATCAAAACAAATTAATATTTTACAAATAGTGAAGGTTTAATCTTTCCGATCATTTTCTTCTTACAGTAATTACCCCCAAAGGCCATGTTCTCAAATAGAAAACCATATTTGAGTTGATATACGGTGATAATACTAAAACATACAATATTTGGTCTACAAGCATTCAAGGTGATAACTTTATCCATTTGTAAATTCGCACTTGCTTATCAATGTGGAAAAATAAGAAAACTTTCAAAAACTTTAAACATAGCCATAATAGATACTCTTTTCATTTAAGATAATAAATTATGATGAAGAATGAGATGTAAAGAGAAAGGAAAAAGACAAGAGGGACTTAACAAAGGACAGGGTACATGTTAGATCAAATATGTCCAAGGCTTGATTCTTTGATAAAAGTTCATCAATCAAAGTTTTGTTCAACTCTCATTTTCTTTACAAACAGTGAAATATGACCTTTTCCTTTGGATTTTGAGACAAGTTTATGTTCAGTTTGTAGTAAATTTATTTAAAATAATTAATAATCAGATGCAACAGGTTCATCCCACTCAATAATCACTCCAAGATTTAAAAATCCCTATAAGAAATGGAATTAAAGCATCTGATGCTGAATCAAACAGGACGTTGGTATACTCAGGTGTCAGATTAGACAAGATTTATTCTATAATGTAATGTACATGAATTACATTTTTTATATGTCTCCATCGAAAACTAACATTTTGACACGGAACACATACTGATTTAATTCAAAGAATCACCTGGTGAATTACATATATGTAAGATAATCTCGGGGTTATTGGTTTTTCACAGGTCTTCATTTAAAATATCAGCTAGCAGGATTTACAACAGTCAGGCGGAGGTAACACCTTATCTGCAGTGCTAATCTAGAGGAAAGGGCACCCGCTGTGACCAATCCTCAGTGCTCTTATATATATAGCTGTGTGCAGAGTAGATCTACCCCGATCAATCTTCAGTGCTCTTAACTGTGTGCAGAGTAGATCTACCCTGACCAATCCTCAGTTCCTCTTAACTGTGTGCAAAGTAGATCTACCCCGACCAATCCACAGTGCTCTTAACTGTGTGCAGAGTAGATCTACCCCGACCAATCCTCAGTTCCTCTTAACTGTGTGCAGAGTAGATCTACCCCGACCAATCCTCAGTTCCTCTTAACTGTGTGCAGAGTAGATCTACCCAGACCAATCCTCAGTGCTTTTAACTGTGTGCAGAGTAGATCGACCCCGACCAATCCTCAGTGCTCTTAACTGTGTGCAGAGTAGATCGACCCCGACCAATCCTCAGTGCTCTTAACTGTGTGCAGAGTAGATCTACCCCGACCAATCTTCAGTGCTTTTAACTATGTGCAGAGTAGATCTACCCCAGCCAATCCTCAGTGCTTTTAACTGTGTGCAGAGTAGATCTACCCCGGCCATACCTCAGTGCTCTTAACTGTGTGCAGAGGAGATCTACACCGACCCATCCTCAGTGCTCTTAACTGTGTGCAGAGTAGATCTACCCAGACCAATCCTCAGTACTCTTAACTGTGTGCAGAGTTGATCTACCCCGACCAATCCTCAGTGCTCTTAACTGTGTGCAGAGGAGATCTACACCGGCCATACCTCAGTGCTCTTAACTGTGTGCAGAGGAGATCTACACCAACCCATCCTCAGTGCTCTTAACTGTGTGCAGAGTAGATCTACTCCGACCAATCCTCAGTAATCTTAACTGTGTGCAGAGTAGATCTACCCCAACCAATCCTCAGTACTCTTAAATGTGTGCAGAGTAGATCTACCCCGACCAATCCTCAGTACTTTTAACTGTGTGCAGAGTAGATCTACCCCGACCAATCCTCAGTGCTCTTAACTGTGTGCAGAGGAGATCTACCCCTACCAATCCTCAGTGCTCTTAACTGTGTGCATAGTATATCTACCCCGACCAATTCTCAGTTCTCTTAACTGTGTGCAGAGTAGATCCACCCCGACCAATCCTCAGTGCACTTAACTGTGTGCAAAGTAGATCTACCCCAACCAATCCTCAGTACTCTTAAATGTGTGCAGAGTAGATCTACCCAGACCAATCCTCAGTGCTCTTAACTGTGTGCAGAGAAGATCTACCCAGACCAATCTTCAGTGCTCTTAACTGTGTGCAGAGTAGATCTACCCAGACCAATCCTCAGTACTCTTAACTGTGTGCAGAGTAGATCCACCCCGACCAATCCTCAGTGCACTTAACTGTGTGCAAAGTAGATCTACCCCAACCAATCCTCAGTACTCTTAAATGTGTGCAGAGTAGATCTACCCCGACCAATCCTCAGTGCTCTTAACCGTGTGCAGAGGAGATCTACACCGGCCATACCTCAGTGCTCTTAACTGTGTGCAGAGGAGATCTACACCAACCCATCCTCAGTGCTCTTAACTGTGTGCAGAGTAGATCTACTCCGACCAATCCTCAGTACTCTTAACTGTGTGCAGAGAAGATCTACCCCGACCAATCTTCAGTACTCTTAACTGTGTGCAGAGTAGATCTACCCTGACCAATCCTCAGTACTCTTAACTGTGTGCAGAGTAGATCTACCCTGGCCTAGTATGTTACAAGATGTTTACCAACCAAACTAACACCAGGAATCTGGAAGTCGTAAATAACTCATCAATAAATCACCAATAAAACCGAAAAAAACTTAAAGATAAAAGTTTTCAATGTGAACACTTAGTCCAACTGTTATTTATCATTTTTAAGCATTTTCTCTTTAAAAGATCATTTTTTTAACATTAATGCATTTTACGTTTTATTGTAAGATAAAATGTATTGATATTTAATGAATATGTCTCAAAGGAGTAAAAAGCAATTTTGTTTTCTTGTTATTTGAAAGAACATTTATGATAGGTATGTATATAGACATACACCAGAACACTCATCAATTTAATCTAAAATGAGATATCGATGCTATTTTTCATGAATATAGATAAGAAAAAAGAAAAAATCTCTGATTATGACAATAATGTTTACGACCAAAGACTGACAATTTTTGGGATTTCTGCAATCAGTGTCAGATCAAAATGAAATGCCTGCTCCCGCTTAAATAAATAAAACCACTTAATATAACGTGGAAATGAAAGATTAACATGAAATGGTTGATGCAAAGGAATGCAAATTAAAAGCCACATTAATTAAGTCCAAACGAAGTGGAACCGTTCGTTTGTTATTACTTTACAATGTCTTATTAAAGAATAATAAATTTCTTTATCTTTACAGTTGAATTTTGAGTGAGGTAAAAACCACAGAACTAAACTATTATTGTTATCTAAGTCTGTGGTAAAAACACATCAAGCTTTGAGCAGCTGGGCCCCTGACCATAGCGTTCATGGTGCTGTTATGGACTTTGTGCAGTTTATCATTACAGGTCAATGACCGCGGTTTTAAGTCATCTTACATCTAGTGCTATATATCTATACCATTTGTGCTATTATGGACTTAGTTCAGTTTATTGGTACAGGTCAATTACCGCGGTTTTAAGTCATCTTACATCTAGTTCTATATATCTACACCACTTGTGCTACTATGGACTCAGTTCAGTTTATTGGTACAGGTCAATGACCGCGGTTTTAAGTCATCTTACATCTAGTGCTATTTGTCTACACCACTTGTGCTACTATGGACTCAGTTCAGTTTATTGGTACGGGTCAATTACCTCGACTTTAAGTCATCTTACATCTAGTTCTATATATCTTCACCACTTGTGCTATTATGGACTCAGTTCAGTTTATCATTACAGGTCAATTACCTTGATTTTAAGTCATCTTACATCTAGTGCTATTTATCTATACCACTTGTGCTATTATGGACTCAGTTCAGTTTATCATTACAGGACAATGACGTTGATTTTAAGTCATCTTACATCTAGTTCTATATATCTTCACCACTTGTGCTATTATGGACTCAGTTCAGTTTATCATTACAGGACAATGACGTTGATTTTAAGTCATCTTACATCTAGTTCTATATATCTACACCAGTTGTGCTACTATGGACTTAGTTCAGTTTATCATTACAGGTCAATGCCCGCGTTTTAAGTCATCTTACATCTAGTGCTATATATCTTCACCACTTGTGCTATTATGGACTCAGTTCAGTTTATCATTACAGGACAATGACGTTGATTTTAAGTCATCTTACATCTAGTTCTATATATCTACACCACTTGTGCTACTATGGACTCAGTTCAGTTTATTGGTACGGGTCAATTACCTCGACTTTAAGTCATCTTACATCTAGTTCTATATATCTTCACCACTTGTGCTACTATGGACTTAGTTCAGTTTAATGGTACAGGTCAATGACCGCGGTTTTAAGTCATCTTACATCTAGTGCTATTTATCTACACCACTTGTGCTACTATGGACTTAGTTCAGTTTATCATTACAGGTCAATGACCGCGTTTTAAGTCATCTTACATCTAGTGCTATATATCTATACCACTTGTGCTATTATGGACTTAGTTCAGTTTATTGGTACAGGTCAATTACCGCGGTTTTAAGTCATCTTACATCTAGGGCTATACATCTACCCCACTTGTGCTACTATGGACTTAGTTCAGTTTAGTGGTACAGGTCAATGACCTCGGTTTTAAGTCATCTTACATCTAGGTCTATATATCTACACCACTTGTGCTACTATGGACTCAGTTCAGGTTATTGGTACAGGTCAATGACCGCGGTTTAAGTCATCTTACATCTAGTGCTATAGACTTAGTTCAGTTTAATGGTACAGGTCAATGACCGCGGTTTAAGTCATCTTACATCTAGTGCTATTTATCTACGCCACTTGTGCTACTATGGACTCAGTTCAGGTTATTGGTACAGGTCAATGACCGCGTATTAAGTCATCTTACATCTAGTGCTATAGACTTAGTTCAGTTTAATGGTACAGGTCAATGACCGCGGTTTAAGTCATCTTACATCTAGTGCTATTTATATACACCACTTGTGCTACTATGGACTCAGTTCAGTTTATTGGTACAGGTTAATGACCGCGGTTTTAAGTCATCTTACATCTAGGGCTATACATCTACCCCACTTGTGCTACTATGGACTTAGTTTAGTTTATTGGTACAGGTCAATGACCTCGATTTTAAGTCATCTTACATCTAGTGCTATAGACTTAGTTCAGTTTAATGGTACAGGTCAATGACCGTAGTTTTAAGTCATCTTACATCTAGTGTTATTTATCTACCCCACTTGACATGAGTCATCTTACATCTAGTGCTATTTATCTTCACCACTTGTGCTACTATGGACTTAGTTCAGTTTAGTGGTACAGGTCAATGACCTCGGTTTTAAGTCATCTTACATCTAGTGATATTTATCTACACCACTTGTGCTATTATATGGTCTTAGTTCAGTTTATTGGTACAGGTTAATGACCGCGGTTTTAAGTCATCTTACATCTAGGGCTATACATCTACCCCACTTGTGCTACTATGGACTTAGTTTAGTTTATTGGTACCGGTCAATGACCGTGGTTTTAAGTCATCTTAGATCTAGTGCTATATATCTATACCACTGGTGCTACTATTGACTCAGTTCAGTTTATTGGTACAAGTCAATGACCGCGGTTTTAAGTCATCTTACATCTAGTTCTATTTATCTACACCACTTGTGCTACGATGGACTCAGTTCAGTTTATTGGTACGGGTCAATCACCTCGACTTTAAGTCATCTTACATCTAGTGCTATTTATCTACACCAGTTGTGCTACTATGGACTTAGTTCAGTTTATCATTACAGGTCAATGACCGCGTTTTAAGTCATCTTACATCTAGTGCAATATATCTACACCACTTGTGCTATTATATGGACTTAGTTCAGTTTATTGGTACCGGTCAATGACCGTGGTTTTAAGTCATCTTAGATCTAGTGCTATATATCTATACCACTGGTGCTACTATTGACTCAGTTCAGTTTATTGGTACAAGTCAATGACCGCGGTTTTAAGTCATCTTACATCTAGTTCTATTTATCTACACCACTTGTGCTACTATGGACTTAGTTTAGTTTATTGGTACAGGTCAATGACCGCGTATTAAGTCATCTTACATCTAGTGCTATTTATCTTCACCACTTGTGCTACTATGGACTTAGTTCAGTTTATTGGTACAGGTCAATGACCGCGGTTTAAGTCATCTTACATCTAGTGCTATATATCTAAACCACTTGTGCTGTTATGGACTTAAGATCAGTTTATCATTAAAGGTCAATGACCTCGATTTTAAGTCATCTTACATCTAGTGCTATATATCTACACCACTTGTGCTACTATGGACTCAGTTCAGTTTATTGGTACAGGTCAATGACCGCGGTTTTAAGTCATCTTACATCTAGTGTTATTTATCTACACCACTTGACATGACACATCTACAACCTTACAATAGTTTACCAAAATTATGATGTAGTTGAGATATGATCTCCTGATAAGAGAACTATTTTGATACTGTAAATATTTAATTTGTCACCAGATCCTGAACTCATGTACATGTGTAATATTGTAAAAGCCGAAGTTTTTAAACTCAGATGGCGGAGTGGAGATTTACAACTGGTCAATAATTTTGAAATCTATACATTCTATCATCTATAAACTATATAATGTGTAAATAAATACATTTGTATTTGCATGTGGATATTTCCGCACTTTATTGCTCGACGTGAAAAAATGCAAACATTTCCACTATCACAATACACAATTAAATGTACAATAATTGACTTGGTATAATTCATAGAAAACCTGTGAAACATTTACAATGGTCAAGAATAAAGTAAACTACTTCAAACCCAAACCTTTACCCTGTTAACTCTATAGGTATAATACACCATACAGTGTATGGTCTGACACAACCTTATCAGTGGTCAGTGTGCTACTCCACTGCCAATCAGTATGGTGCCCTCATAATTCTGTTTATTGGAAAGTGAGTACAAACATATAAACATCTGGGTATATTGAAGAAAAGGTCATTTGAACATATGACGCCTGATGCATTGTTATCAGACCCAACACCATATTATGTTATAGTCTAGGAATGAAGTGAAATCTTTAATTTGAATCTAATGAAATTATTAAAATTTTATTAATATTGAAACAGGAAATAGTCTGTAGAAAACCCCCAACTCTGCAGGAGGTCCTACATTACTCACATGCAGTGGGATACAGCATGATGCCTATTTCCCAAAACTGCATGGGTTCAGGATAATTTAAAAAGTCAATATTAGGCCCCGAAAAGCTACTTTTCTAGACTATTGAAGGCTGGATTGTACTGAAGAAAAGTTTTGCTCTTCACCGTCAGTTAACTTTCTTATAACAAAGACGAGATATTTACCTTTACAACAGTTGTCTTTGGCCCCAGAGACCAGGTAATCGCGGTACACCAGGATCGTAAGAATCGTGTCACGATGGCCTCGGAATATTCGCATACACTTCCCAGTCTCCATGTTCCACATTCTGTATCGCAAAGAAAAAATGATCGATTGTAAATCAACTAATGCATCTATCAACAGCATCAAGATGTAATTTTATTTAATTTTTCAAAGACACATGCACTGGTAACAGATTTTTACTATCCCATATTGTGACCTCATACCATCTGGTATGTTCCGTAGTGTTAAATGCCTGCAATTTTTTTTCAATGAATCAATGAAATTCCTCTTGACTTACCTGATACTAGTGTCGTAACTCCCACTGAGGACATAGCCATCCTCCTCACAAAGATAAACACAGCGGACACTTCCAGCATGTCCAGTAATGACTGGTCCCTGGTCCTTCCCCGACTCACGCTCTATAAACCGCACCTTGCGGTCCTTTGACCCGATGGCAATCAGTTTGCCCCCACAGGTGTGTACAACACGATGCGAGTCCTCTCTGTAGATATATAAAAACAAATATATACAAATCATACAAAATATTCTTAATAAAAAAGTTCTATTATATTTTTAATTGCACATAATATTAGTTTGAACAGTTATTAGATAGATTTGATTTACGCAAGGTCGTAGAAATTAAACCGTAGAAACTTACACATCTTTGAGCACCATGACGTTATATGACCCACAATAGACGTTGCGTTCCTCCATGATAACCTTACGACATGATATTCCTGTCAAAGCCGTTTCAAAGTTGACCTCATTCTTGTACTTGGCTTTGACGACTTGATCTTGAGTGGTAATCATCTCCCGTGTCCCCGGGTGAAGGTTTGGCACGATCACGTCTACATCTTTGGCGTACACTGGGTTGGCACCTTGTGCTGCAGCACCCTACGACAACAAACAAATTACGATTATTTTACCTCTACATTCAACTCCTGCAGCTTTGTATTTTAAATTTGATACCATACACACTTCACTTGATTCCCAGATGGTCTATACGTTTTCACTATTGACAAACAAAATTACGAGTCTTGAAATTTGGTTGTAATTTTCGGATTGATAAAACAAAAATGGGTTATATGTATGTGGTAACACCACTATATGGTAATTATAAGTACAGTACTGTTTGTCTAATGACCAAAGCCATGGGTACAGTAAGTCTTCTTATAATAAAATAAATCTTACTGAAAATGGGAGGTTGGAAACAATTAATACACATTTAAACATATTTAAATAGAAACAAATCCTGTATATGCTTGTTCCATTGTTATCCAAGTTTGTCTTTTTGTTGCTTTTGTTCTAAGTAACATTTCAAACTTGAGATTAAGTTTTTTCTAATTTCTTTCTGCAGTAAATTATAACTTAAATTGAAATATATATTTCTTTCAGGTGACAAAGAATTGTTTTAGACACTTTATGAGGTGACAGGCTTGTAAGTAAGTTTTTCCACCAACCTGCATGAGCATGACTTCTTCGGATAGATCCTGGTTGATTCGGAACTCCTTATGAACCTCCTCCACTAGAGAGCACCAAATGCTACTTACACACAGTGCATTGTGTAACGAAGCAATGTCCAAAAATCCCAGCACATATTTAGCAATATGGACAGGCAGACCCCGGATGAAGTCTTTATGCTTAGCTACCCCGGAGGATGCCTTCGCGGATGTCGGAACCACCATGCATGCTGGATCAACCGACAGAATATCCATGGAGGTAAAACTCTCGTCGTCGCTGTCGTCATTTTCAATTTCGTCTTCCAAGAAGAGTTCTTCACCAGTGAGTGGGTTATGTCTTGGAATACCATACTCAGGTGTAGCTCGGATAAGTAGGTCAAGGTCAGGTCGCTCGTCAGACTGGTATGTGTAATTAGTACTCGCTATAGACGCTGCCTCTAAGATATCGTCCTCTGTAAAAAGTATGATATGTTTTTGAGAATTGCCCTTTTTAAATCAGATTTAGTTCAACAAACACAAGTTTACCGCTTTCTTTTTATTTAATAATCAACCTATGGCTATGTGCATGTTTTATGGACGTAAATATAACGGCCTGAGTTAATTGATTTTTTTAAATCCCGATTTATCAATAATTTCCACCATAATGTAACTAAATATTGGAGCTAAATGCAAAAACTCAACGTCAGCAAAGCCAACTGACCATGAAATATAGGTCAAACCCAAAATCTTTGACATAGTGATGCCACCGTGCTGACAGAAACTTTGACATAGTGATGCCACCGTGCTGACAGAACCTTTGACATAGTGATGCCACCCTGCTGACAGAACCTTTGACATAGTGATGCCACCCTGCTGACAGAACCTTTGACATAGTGATGCCACCCTGCTGACAGAACCTTTGACATAGTGATGCCACCCTGCTGACAGAACCTTTGACATAGTGATGCCACCCTGCTGACAGAACCTTTGACATAGTGATGCCACCCTGCTGACAGAACCTTTGACATAGTGATGCCACCCTGCTGACAGAACCTTTGACATAGTGATGCCACCCTGCTGACAGAACCTTTGACATAGTGATGCCACCCTGCTGACAGAACCTTTGACATAGTGATGCCACCCTGCTGACAGAACCTTTGACATAGTGATGCCACCCTGCTGACAGAAAGGCAACAACTTTCAGTCTCACTTTCACTCCTTCATTACAATGAGACAAAATGAATTCAATTAGATATAGAAATGATTAAGTCATTAAACTATTTTATGTCAACAGAAATGTGCACATTTTCTCTAAAGTTACATGTCAAAGACTAGTTAAACTTCTAGATCCTTATACAAAATCTGTTTCCCATAAAGTTAACAACCTTGAGGCTACAGGTAGGTATATATATATTTGTTTTAACACCTGAAGCACATTTTCATGATTCTTAATATCACTGTTATGTTATTTCTTCTACATGTTAAAATCAATTTAAACTATTTACATATATAACCTGTGAAACAGGTTTCAGTTGGTATTTTAATCAACATTTGAGTACTACAATAAACTTTCTTATATTAGCCCTAGTCTTTAATTTCTCTATAATCAAGCAATAATCTGTCTCATTAACGACCAATTATATTTTCTCATTTTTTTTAGTAAACAGCACCTTTTCATCTCCAACTTATTTACACACAGAATAGCTTTCAATACGTATAAATACTGAACATTATGTACTTCAATAATCAATCACCGATAATTTCTATTTGAGATTTGTAATGTGTTTTTACAAACCTAGGGGTGTTATTTGCAACATTTACGGTATAAAACTGTTCTCTCCCAGCCGGGGTCATATATAAGATAAACAGACTTTAATTACAACCACAAACACCCACACACAACAACAAATATTGGATCCTTTTATTCAAGAAAAAATCCATTTCTACTGACCAAAATACCATAACAATACCTTTGAATGGTGAAGCGATTTCTAATAAGTGAGCATAATATCAACCGAATGGAATTGATTTTTATACTTTTCTTTAAATTCAAGATTTGAAATAACTCTCCAGTGCCAAATTTAAATTGATCCCATGCCTGCCAACTCATTGAAGGTTAAGCTATTTTCCCTCGTAAAGTGTCCTCATGTCTTTAAGATATAAGCGGGCAGGGCTAAGACCTGTCACAATCAACCCTGCCATCATATGTTTACCAATTCTACTTACCAGAAATGGATTTTGTATTGACCTAGACATTAAAATCATTATTTCAGTCTGTTTGACGTAAGTCTAACTCATTTCCATCAAACATGCCAGTGACAGCACTTACATAAAAGGCATGTATACATATTTATCTCCACTTCAATAGAATTGATTTTATATTTGTCTAGTACCTTATGGTAACGCTGAAATTATTTCACTCGTAAACGTTAGCCCTATTTTGTCATTAAAAGAACTTCAATCTTCAATAATAGGTGTTTTGCTTGTTAACCATGAAAGAAACATACCAAGACATTTATACCAACAGTTTACCTTCACCATGGTACGATATATTGTTATCCATAAAAATACATCCATGATAACTATTTTTATCGATTTTTTTTTTGTCAAATCCAAATATGATAATAACAAATTTCTTCAGAAGAAATTGCACATTGCCTTCTAAAAACAGCTTAGGTATACTGTACACAACTTCGTTTAGTCATTGTTACGTCTTCGTAACTCAATGGCCATTTTTATGCGGCACTCAGATAAAATGTCAAAATTTTGACAATGGAAAAGATGAAAGAAAAAACAAAGAAGACAATCCAGAACCAGGTATCTATAGGGAAGGGAGACAATCAAAACCTGTACTGTAGGACATGTCAATATTCCTGTACATGGTTTACTGCATATCTACATCAACAATCTGACAGCTCAGATTGTTTATATAATGTCTACATGCATAGGTCACTACATTGTGCATCAGGTTTAGCAATCCAAATAATCTAGGCAATAAAATCAGTTATCATTATTGATAGTACCTTTATAGTAAATCTTCTAAGAGATTTAGTAGCAATGCAAAAATATCTATCATTCTTCAATTAAAAGTTATCTTAAACATATGCTATTGTACAGTAAATACACCTTTCATAAAGGAAGACACTGAAACTAAGATCTGGGGTCTGGTGATGAATATCTTCAGTGTAGATTAAAGCTCTTCTTGTAGAAACCCCCAGCTATACTTATATTAGGACGATTGGACAAAATTATTCAGAAAATCCTGGTAAATCAAACACAAGGTTCAAATGTGACGTAGGGATTCTGATAAGCTTTTAATGCTTAATTTTCAGCCTTTAAAATTGAACTATATTTACCATGCCAGTATACCATTTTAAAATTGGACACGATCATCAGAAGTTGGGGATTCTGATAAAATTTAAATGCTGAAGTGTTCAGTCTACAAATTTGAATGTTATTTATTGAACCTATTATTCAATTTTTACTGAACCTATTATTCAATTGTGAATGTTTACCATTTCACCAAAATTTGAAAATTTTAATAACATCTTAATATTAAAGTAATAAAAGCAGCCTACAAAATTTAATATTATTTACCGTACATGTTCATGACATGTACAATGGTCAGAGTTAAAATCCCTGTATATACTGTTCACCAATGGCTGGGGAATCTGATAATAAAATCTGTAATCTCAGATGAATAGCTCAACAGTTACATGGGAAACTGTCACACATATTGAATGCATAAGCCTGGTAAATTGGTTTCAATGTAGCCACTCAGAGATGAATGATGACCCTAATAATTTAATATAAATGTACTTTTAGCTTCAGCTCCTCCCTCTGCTGGTCTAAGGAACACAACAGACAACCATTATACCTTACTGGGGTTTATAGATCCTTGGTCAGGCTGGCCGATAGTTCAGTTGGTGTACCGTATATAACTCAATAAAAGTGCCTTGGTCGTACATACAAGTCAAATAATAAAAAAATACAAGTTTTTTACAATTAATTTTACATTACAGTGGTAGATAGCTCAACCAGGTTGACCTTACCCTAGGTCAACAGAGTTCTACATCTTCTACGTTTGTTCTCTTGCCATGTTATAACCTGGTAAAATGGCACGGATTTGTTTATGATAAGACATTGATTTGTACCGTCTGCTCTGATTACACAGTCATAATTGATTAATTATGTCTAACACCGAAGTAATATTATCAATAAAATTCTGTTATTGGGATTTTTCTATGATCTTCTTTCCACAGGGGCCTATACATTTTCAATTTGGACAATTTTACAGCACTCTCACAAAAGTTACATGTAGAAAATAAACTGCATTTATGGAACTTTTTTCCAAAGAAAAATCCCCAAATTTACCAAGAAAAACTTCACTGCATTATTGACAATATTTCAGATGGATTGGATTTTGAAGTTTAATACTTTAATTGAAAAATAGTTACCATGATTCAGACTTAATTTCTGAGGCAAATGAAACATGCTCCAGATTCCCAATTGCGCTACGTATACTAGGACCTCAAAGGGCCATGTAAAATGACTCCTATGACATAGCAAAACAATTGTTAGTGGCAAAGATCTAAACCTGATATCCTAAAAACACAAAAAGACTATTTTTTGCCAGATCAATCATATTCCAGACCAACAATATTTTCTAGTTTGTTGATAACGTCACTTTGGTCGGCCCTGTCATGTTCCCCGTTTTTCCAAAATAGAAAGATATTCATAATCGTTCTATTTCCTCTGAAGGATGAAGGATCAATACGGCTAACAATACCCGTTCAATGGGCCATTTATCAGCCACTAAAGTCAATATGATGTCATAACAACTGTAGAAAAATTGGCATTGTTTGGTAATTCAATAACGGTAATGGCCAATTTCTCTGAAGCTTGCCAAGATGAGCTTGATAAGCTTAATACATGTTTTACAGAAAATTTTGATTTTGTGGATTTTTTTAAACCATGTCGAATTTCAAAGTTTAAAAAAGTTAGTTTATTGCTTCATTGGCCAGCAATGGTGAAGTCGTATAAGGGCCTGACAATGATTATAATTAAGGGTCAATTACAAGGAATTTCAAAGATTAAAACAGGATGTTTACTGTATATAGATTCAAATTCATATCATGAAAGTCAATATTTAATGGTTTTATGGTGTAAAAAAGTCCATGTCCATTTTTAAAATCGAATTCTAGTGAAGGATAATAGCAAATATCGTACGTACATGAAGAAATTATTTTTCTTTAGCTAAGCTAACTAGACTTCAATGTTAGATCCTGGTCATAGAATTCTGTGTAAAATCTATAGAATACGATCCATCAAATACCAAGAACACACATCTAGGTATTTCAGTTCTCACAAAGCCACAAACAGATCAAGGTTGAGTAGAAAATCAATTTACGTGAACAGAGTTGAAGTAAAATAGAAATAATATACAATGGCATCTATACAGCCTCAATAGCAT